TCTGAAAACACCATTATGTACTGGGGAAAGAGTGGCAATGTGAAAGTGCAATTTATTTTCGAATCCTTAGAAACCATTTTCCAAAATTTCTGTTTTTTCCGGATATCTCCGGATATACTTGGAATTTCAGAACTTTCTCGACGGCATGTTATTAGTCAGGTAAATGCGCAACTTTGCCCCAATTCAACCATCTTCGTATCTCTAATAGTTTCCGAGATCCCAATGGTGAGGATCGAATTTGAAACACCCTGTATACAAATCGTTGTATAACATACTTATAACATAATTATTTGAATTGAAAGTCAAATTTAGAAACATCCAAGTCAAAGCCTATTATGATAAGATAATTTTTTTTTCAATATCCTCAATTTTTCGAGAAAGAATGATAACTTATGATACATTATTGAAAATGTAAAATCCGGTTCTATTCAAAACAGAAAGAATCCAATGTAGCAAAATAAAGTTGATGATGATGGCCGGAAGACGAAACGTCGGATAGCAAATCTGAAAACACCATTATGTAGCGGGGAAAGAGTGGCAATGTGAAAGTGCAATTTATTTTCGAATCCTTCGAAACCATTTTCCAAAATTTCTGTTTTTCTCGGATATCCCCGGATATACTTGGAATTTCAGAACTTTCTCGACGATATGTTGTTATTCAGGTAAATGCCCAACTTTGCCCCAATTTAACCATCTTCCTATCTCTAATAGTTTCCGAGATCCCAATGGTGAGGATCGAATTTGAAACACCCTGTATACAAATCGTTGTATAACATACTTATAACATAATTATCTTGAATGAGCAAGTTTCACTTAGGCATTGCAATGCCTGTATTGTGTTGTATGAAGTTTGTTAAAAAAATAAGGTGAATGTTCAAATTTCGCATGCTACGTACATTTGATCAGCGATTTTTCGATTTTTTCATGTTGGTGCAATCTTATCGAACATATGTTCATAGTTTTAGCTGTTTATCATTTTTAGTTTGTTGGTGAGAGGCATATAAGTTAGAAAGTGTATTTGCATCAAAGTTTGTGTTGAAAATGGAATCAAATGCTCAAATACCCTTGAAATGTTGACAGTGGCATACGGTGATTGTACCTTGAGCCAGAAAAATGTTTACAAGTGGTACAAACTCTTCACAAAACGTCGAGAAGATGTGAATGACGACGTCCAGCACATCAACAACCGATATAAATGTTGAGAAACTGAAGAAAATTGTCATGGAGACTATTTGAATCACTTTTGGAAAAGTTGCCGAGGAAGTTGGTTGACTCATGTCATACACCTTTTTTGAGAATTTTGGACATGAAACGTGTGCCAGCAAATTTCGTTCCAAAAAATTATTTGAAAGAGTCATAACTGGTGGCGAATCAAGGGTATATGATTATGACAGTGAAACCAAAGTTCAATCATCCACCGTATTCATATAACTATAAAGAATCTTATGATATTTGTTATATCAAATCATATACCCCACAACACCTACCTACGCCTATGGAACAGGCGTAGGTTTGTTTCTGGTTACAGACACTATAAACCAACCATTCAATTTTCATAAGCTACATTTTTACAAGGAGTAATACTTACTTTTTGAGTTGTTCGCAAAAAACCGTCCGAAATAATTCTAACTATACCGTCAAGGAAATCTGATATTCAAGACGCCGCATTCTAAAAGTAGGTATCCAATTTATAGAAACATTACTTGAAGTGGAACCTTTAGCAATAGACAATGAGAACAGAAAAATATTATTAATGTATTATTGACGAAATGGCTACGTTTCAAAATGAAATTTTTATGGCTACCACCATATCATACTGTGAATTTAATTCCATTGAGTCCATTTGGGCTGATATAAAAAAAATGTTGTGGGGCATGATACTATAGTCAAGTTTCACATAAGAAAAGTGGAAAAAATGGATTGATCATGAAAAAATGGAGCAAAAAATGTGGAAATTAGATAATATAGAGCAAGAAATTGAACAATTCGTAATGAATATGAATGATAGTGACACGTCTTTTGACGAACTAGACGAACAACAGTAAATAAAATAGTATTTAGGTGAGTACTCAATATTTCCTGGGTGAGCGTCGTCATTCACATCTTCTCGACCTTTTTTGAAAAGCTTGCACCCCTTGTAAACATTTTTCTGGCTCAGATTACAATCACCGAATACCTACTGCAATATTCACCACTTAATTTAATTTTTCACACACAATTTGATGCAAATTATCTGATTCATTTTTTTCCGATAGCAGAAATTTGTCGAACACACAAAACACATATCTTCGTTGCCATCGAAATTTGAACATTTACCTTATTTTTTGAACAGACCCCGTATACTGAAAAAAGTCCTAACGAACATCTCAATTTTTATTTTATAAATACTATCAGATTAAGTACCTATATGTGTACTTCTGTGTCACCTTGTATAACATTTTTAATACATTTTTTCCAATTTCCGTTGGTATGATCTCTTTATTTTGTTTTTGGTGCAATATCTACTATAGAGAAAATACATCTAAACACAAAGGAAGCATAGAACATACCTATGCATGTGTAGTGTTCCATTCTTTTATTTGGGTATCTCAATTCATTTTTTATACAGTGAGAGTTTTGAAAAATATAAATGATAATATTGAGTAGATGCATTCGAAATTTATCATAAGAATTATTTTATATTAGTTGGGTTGGTTAGGGTAATGGGATAGAAAAATGAAGAAAGGATAAGTAATAGATAGAGTAGGTATTAGAGGAGTGTGTATCAGTTGAAAATTAATCAGACAATTCCGCTTTCTGCTTCGATAAGTTTGTTGGGAGTTAAAATGGACACCAATATGTCTTGGCACAATCATGTCTCTGGAATTGCAAAGGTTGCTTCTCAAAAGCTTGGAACACTGGATGGTTTATAAAGCTCAGATCATACCTTCTTTAGGTATTGTTCTCATGTATGGAACCGCCCCTGAGCGTACCCTGAAGCTGCTGGATTCCATCCAGAAAAGAGCCATCCGCCTGCTTGAAAACGCGAACATCACTTGCAACCTTGATGGTCTGGAACGTCGATGAAAGGTTGGAGATTTGTGTCTCTTCTATAGATACTTTCACGTGAAATGTTCAAGTGACTTGGCACATTCGATTTCACCAAGAGATGTTCAACTCAGTACACCTCGAATTTCACTGTTTAAGAACTCTTTCATTTGGAGAAAGGCGTTTATGTGGAAGAACTTCCTGGGAACGCTTTTACAAATGGATTTAATTCCAGCGATTCAAATTTAATGTAAATCACTACTTTCGCACAGACACCGCTCTGAGGGCGCCTTAAGGATTTTTCTGTAGTGCTTGTGTTTTGTCCTTAAAAAATTCAGTGTATTTTTTTCGAGAATGCTCCGTTTGTAGTTCGCCGTTTTTGTTATATGCTTGACTCTTAGTAAAAATCAACCATTAAGTCCACTCCCACTATTTTCATTCATATTTTCACGAAATTCTTGTTGACCTCGAAACGAAGTGTGGAGCCAATTTCGTTTTTTTTAACATAGTCCGGTGCTCATATAAAAACGAAATTTAAGGTTATTATAGAATATTTTGTGGTAAATTCTTAACCAACTATGAAAATTAAAAACAATAATAACAACAGCTAATAAACTAAACACAATATCAATTTTCGACCGTTTATTAAAACTAATCCGATGCCCGTGGTACCGTCGAACCCTTCGGTACTACAGCACTGGATGAGAATCTCATCCTATATCACGTGGTAAGATAGCCTACTGGTTGTTTTATTCTAACGTGCTTGACTTTTAGGTCCGAAATAAAATTTAAATATTTGTGTATGAATCTGAATTTGGGTATATAGATATATAGATTTGTTATATAGATTCCAATCTATATATTTTCCCTCCAGATTTTTTTGTAGTCTTGTTTGTTTTTGAACATCCTTTGAATACATTGATAGGAATATATAAACCCCTGACATTCAAGATCTCAATATCTTATATGGAGCCTCTGGAGACACCCTACATTTTGTTTTATAAGAGAGAGAACATCAAGATCTTCAGATGATGTGGTGCTG